TGTAGGATGTTAGGTAGCATTCCTGGCTTTCACCGCCTAGATGCCAGTAGCTCCCCTTGAGCTGTGACAACCATAAATGTTTCCAGATATTTTCACATGTCTCTTGGAGGAGTGAAATTGCCTACTGTTAAGAACCACTGGCTTAGTCTGTAGGTGATAGCTGTGGAGAGATGCAGTGAAGTGAGTAGACTGGAGAGAGATTTAGAAGGACCGGTAGGAAATAAGGTATCAAGGATGACTTCTGTGTTTCTGGCTTAAACAGTAGGGTGGATGGCAGCACTGTCTTCTGAGGTGGGGAGCCCTGAAAGTGGGGAGCATGTTGAGGGTGGCATAGAGCATTTCAAGCATTTCAGCCCCTAAACAGTGGTTGGTATATAGTAAACACTCAATGGATTTTTGCTGTGTAAGTGGATGCTGACTTTTAGATATCTGTAAGACATGTAATAGGAGATAGGTAACTAAGGAGACATATAGTAGGAGCTGAGTAACTGGGCTAGAGGTGGAAATTTGGGAATAGAGATGGATAAAATGTACTTGACTGAAAACCCAGGGACAGAGTCTATCAGCAGATCCTGCTGGGTGTTCTGCAATGTCTGAGCTATGATGTGTGACATATGTACCATATTTCTGAATTCTGAATCACATATGTCTGCAAAAACTTTGTATAAGGAATCAAACCTATGGCTTTTATTAGCTTTTTTCTAAGTCTCATTTTATTTTGCATTTTCCGTGTTTGGCACTGTGAGTCACTACCTCTGTTGTGATGTGCACTGTCTTCTCCATTTCCATTGACATCGCCTGCACTGACTTTTCTTTTTCCTCTGTAAACCAGCCCTTACAAGTACCTGATGTTTTTATTTTAATTTTTATAAGAGGAGAAAGGGTATTTAGATAGTGTTTCAGATGAAGCAATTTTTATAGGCTTATGACCCTATTTTTTAAAAAACTTGTACCTCTGATGGGTTCAAAGTGATGCTACAATTAATATCTGATGCAGAAGATATTAATCAGGTTTAGATTAGATTAGATTATAGAAAGTAAGGGACCTACATACATTTTGGCTGAAGCAAAAGTAATATGCTTTTCAGTTGGAAGGTTAGTCAATTCATGTTTAGCAATGGGAAATTGGTTCTTTTTCTTTTTTTTTTCTTTTTTTTATTATTATACTTTAAGTTCAAGGGTACATGTGCATAACGTGCTGGTTTGTTACATATGTATACTTGTGCCATGTTGGCGTGCTGCACCCATCAACTCATCAGCACCCACCAACTCGTCATTTACATCAGGTATAACTCCCAATGCAATCCCTGCCCCCTCCCCCCTCCCCATGATAGGCCCCGGTGTGTGATGTTCCCCTTCCCGAGTCCAAGTGATCTCATTGTTCAGTTCCCACCTATGAGTGAGAACATGCGGTGTTTGGTTTTCTGTTCTTGCGATAGTTTGCTGAGAATGATGGTTTCCAGCTGCATCCGTGTCCCTACAAAGGACACAAACTCATCCTTTTTATGGCTGCATAGTATTCCATGGTATATATGTGCCACATTTTCTTAATCTAGTCTGTCACTGTTTCTTAGTTGCAGTCTGTGAAGTAAACTCTGTGATACTTTAGACCTGCATTGTTCAGTATGACAGCTACTAGTGCACATGTGACTGTGTAAGTTTAAATTAATTAAAATTTAAAATTCAGTTCCTTAGTTACACCAGCCACATTTCAAGTGCTCACTAGCCACATATGGCTAGGGGCTACATTGGACAGTGCGGATAGAGAACATTTCTGTCATTGCAGAAAATGATATTGGATAGTGCTGCTTTAGAGACATACAGTTGTATAAAATTAGTAACGTTACTCTTTTACAGTAAGTATTCAGGGAGATAATGCTACTTGCTTATATGATGCTGATATTTAGGTTAGAATCTTGGTGTTGTAATTTGACACTATTAGTGTAGAAGATTAGGGCAGGTAAGTAACGTTTGCCATGTGAGTAAATTGCTAGGGTTGGCAGTAAATAGTAGGTGGATAATTAATTTGAAAAGTACGTATTTTGATTTCTTTTTTAGCTCCCTTCTATTCAGCTTATACCCATATATATTTTTCTATGAATTTACTTTTTTACTTTTTTTCTTATTATCTGAATACGCTCTTTTTTTTTTTTCCCTGCTTAGGCCTTTATAGTAATTAGAAATGTTTAATGGGTCAGACCAAATACACTAAATGGGACTTAGAACATTTTTATGTGTTGTCCAAAGTGATTGTTTATGTGCAATACAATCTGTTTATTTCTAGTTTTACATGGTATATATTTCTTATATTATATTTCAATATATTTCTTTAGCTAGAGTTTAAGTCTTTAAAATGAAAGATTTGAACTTATCTGAGTACTGAACAGTTTTTAAATTCTTACCTCTGTCTGCTTTATGATTTTTTTTGCTTTATACTCTTTATGAAATATTCATAATGTAGTTATTGTACTTGCTTTGATTGACCCATGTATAAATACAAATACATATATAATATATATTATATATGTATATATACACACGCACATACATACTTTATTTTTGTAATTCCCTTTAATGCCTCTATAGTATGTTTTATTATTCTGATTCATATCTAGATATTTTACCTTTAAAATGTAATTTACAGTGGCTCACGCCTGTAATCCAGCTCTTAGGGAGGCCAAGGCAGGTGGATCACTTGAAACCAGGAGTTTGAGACCAGCCTGGCCAACATGGGGAAACCCCATCTCTACTAAAAATACACAAAATTAGCCAGATGTGGTGGCATGCCTGTAATCCCAACTACTCGGGAGGTTGAGGCAGGAGAATCACTTGAACCCGCAGGTGGAGGTTGCAGTGAGCCAAGATTGTACCACTGCATTCCAGCCTGGGTGACAGAGTGAGACCTTGTCTCAAAAAATAAAGTAAAATAAAATGTAATCTATTCTAAAATTCAGTGCTTTTTCCTAGTCTGTATTTTCATATAAGCTTTGAAATTTTTGAGGAAAACATTGAACAGTTGAGGTAATAGAGACAAAGAAAAGAGTGTTGGGGATGGAGTATCCTATATGTCTTACTTTGAAGTGCGGTAATGATACACCTTAAGCTGCATGTCTGATAACAGAAGTTTATTTTTCCCAGTTCTGGAATCTAGGCTGTCCAAGATCAAGGTGCTCATAGATTTGGCATCTGGCAAGGACCTGCTTCCTGGTTCGTAGTCAACGATCTTCTCTCTAACCTCACATGGTGGAAGGGGCAGGAGAGATCTAGATGTCTTCTAGAAGGCACTAATCCCACACATGAGGGTTCTATCCTCATGACCTAATCAACTCCAAAAGGACTCACCTCCAAATATCCTCATATTGGGGATTAGGTTTCAACATACGAATTTTGGGACACTCTATAGCACTATATATTATGATATTAATTCCCCTTATTTGACATAGCAGGAATTTAAGTTTCACCATATTCACCCAGCACTTCTGAGAGCAGATTTGACAGACTATCTTTATAAAGATCCAGATAGTGAACTTTCAGCTTGCAGGACATATAGCCTCTGTCACTATTCCACTCTGCTGGCGTCGTGCAAAGGTATCCATAGACAACATGTAAGGGAGGAGTGTGGCTGTGCTTCAGGAAAACTTTATTTACAAAAACAGGTGGTGGACTGGATTTGGCTAACTTGTATTCTAAGCTAACTTGTATTCTAACAGGGATTTTTAAAAAGAGCAGGAGGCAGAGAGAAACCTTTGCTACTAGCTTCAAAACTAGAAGTTTAAGTTTGCTAAGTGGTAATTTTAAACTTGCTAGAGCACAAATAGTGAAATATGTGAACTTTTAAAAATTAATGACTTACAGTCGGGGGTGGTGGCTCATGTCTGTAATCCCAGCACTTTGGGAGGCCAAGGCAGGTGGATCACAAAGTCAGGAGATCGAGACCATCCTGACTAACACGGTGAAACTCCGTCTCTACTAAAAAATACAAAAAATTAGCCAGGTGTGGTGGCGGTGCCTGTAGTCCCAGCTACTCGGGAGGCTGAGGCAGGAGAATGGCATGAACCCGGGAGGCAGAGCTTGCAGTGAGCCAAGATGGCACCACTGCACTCCAGCCTGGGTGACAGAGCGAGACTCCGTCTCAAAAAAATAAAAAAAAAAAAATGACTTATCATGGCTTATTGTTCTGAAGCAGGTGATTTTTTAAATGCTGATTGAACTGTTTGCCTTTCCCTTGGTATAGCTGTTGTGTAAAAGGGAAGTAAAATAATGTAAGGCCTGATATTTAACAGTTGAAGTGAGAACTATTGTTCAAAACAATATAAAAGAGATAGTTAAATCACAGGATGTAAGATCAATATACAAAAATCAGTGTTATTTCTGTATGTCAGAAATGAATAGTCCAGGTAACATTGTAAAAATTCATTCACAGTAGCACGAAAAAGAGCAGTATGCTTAGGAATTAGCAAAAGAAGTGCAAGATCACTACACTGGAAGGAAAAAGCATTGCTGAGAGAAATGAAAGAAGACCTAAATAAATGGGAGAGACACCATGTTATGGATAGGGAGAGTCAGTTCTTGTTAAGATGGCAGTGCTTTCACTTCCACATTTGAGCAACAGGTTCAGTGCAATCCCTGTCAGAATTCCAGCGAGCTGTTTTGTAGAAATTGGCAAGCTGATCCTAAAATTTAAATGGAAATAAAAAGAATTTAAGATAGCCCCCAAAAAAGAAAAAAGTCAAAGGCCTAGACTGTCTCATTACAAAACTTACCACAAAGCTACAGTAATCAAGACACTATAGAGATAGACATGTAAATCAGTTGAACAAAATATGGTCAAATGATTGTTGACAAATGTGTGAGGGCAAGGCACTGGGGAAGGGATTATCTTTTCTACAAATGGTGCCATAAATTAGATATACACACTCAGGCCAGGCATGGTGGCTCTCGCTTGCAATCCCAGCACTTTGGCCGACTGAGGTGGGAGGACTGCTTGAGCCCAGGAGTTCAAGAGCAGCCTGGGCAACATAGTGAGACCCCATCTCTAGAAAATAAAAGTTATACGCATGGAAACAAGTAAATAATAAATCTTGAGCCCTGCCTCAGAGTGTACACACAAATTAACTCAAAATAGACCAGAGACCTACATGTGAGAAAAAACTATACGACCTCTAGGAAAAAATAGAAGTAAATATATTTGACATTGGATTAGGCAAAGGTATGACATTAAAAGCACAAAATAAAAACAAAAGTAGTAGTTTGGACTTAATGAAAAGCCACAGACTAAAATAAAATACTTGCAAAATATATATCTGATAAAGGATTTTATCCAGAATATTTAAAGAACTCTTACAACTCCATATTAAGAAAACAAGCTACCCAGTTAAGAAAGGGGCAAAAGATTTGAAAAGACATTTCATCAAAAAAGATACATAAATGCAAAGTGAGCATATGAAAGATACTCAGCATCATTAGTGGTTAGCAAAATGCAAATACAAACAGCAGTGAGGTACCAGTTCACACGCACAAAGAGCAGCAGCACCAAGTGTGGGTGATGCCGTGGGGAGGGTGGAAACTTCACACATGACTGCTGGGAATATAAAATGGGGCAGCCGCTGAGGGAAAGAGTTTGCGGTTCCTCAAAATGTTAAACATACACTTCCCATAAAACCTAGTAATTCTACTCCAAAAGAAATGGAAACATACCCTCATGGCCACCTGTCTGTGAAAGCTTATGGCCGTGTTATTCATCATAGCCCAAACTGGATATAACCCAAGTGTTGATCAGCAGTGAGTGAACCATGGTACATCCACGCAGTGAAATACTACTGAGCAGTGACAAGGAATGTGCACGTGCCACAGCATGAGTAAACCCCGAGTCCACATGCTGAGTGAGGAAGCCAGCCACAAGAGACTAGCTTATAGGATGCCATTTGTATGAAATTTCTATGCAAGGCGAAGCCAGAATGACAGAAAGCATCAATGACTGTCCAGGGGCAGGGGATGGGAGTGAGGATTCACTGCAGATGGGAATGAAGGAACTTTCACAGTGGTGGAAGGATTCTAAACCTGCACTGTAGTGTGAATTCACTGAAACACATTGACTTGTACACTTAAATTAGGTAAGTTTTATGTCATGTAAGTCTACCTCAAAGCTGTTTAAAAAAGATAAACGTTATAAAGGAAAATGTAACAAGGAAGGTCAATATTAAAAAGGCACAGCTTGAATGTTGGTTTAAGGATTTTGTATATTTTCTCATTAAAGCAAATGTTTGAGTGTTTATATACATCTGTATTTTTCTGAGCTGAAAAGAATGAAACATCAGGAGCACTGACCCTCGAAGGTGCCCTTGAAGGAGGGAAGTCTAGAGTTGAAGGGGAGGCATGGTAACTGTCTTCAGATGCTGGAAGGGAGTAGATGTGCTCATTCTTTGGCGTGCTCAGATGGAATACCAGTAGCCAGATGAAATGTGAAAAGGCACACATGGCCCAAGGAAGGATGGCCTCAGGTACAGTGAGAATGTTTAACAGTATGGTTTGTGGAATGTTGCATTTGTCATTGGAGATCTGTAAATTGATGCTGAGGGGACATTTTGGTTTGGATGCTGTAGGAGATTGTGTCAGGTGCCTTCTACATTCCCTTCTGGTGGGCGTTCCTGACCAGCCATGGCAGGAGCTGCTGAGCAATGATATAAGCTGTTCACGAGTGCCTTCCCCTTAAATCCATAAAGAACTAAGAAAATGGAAGAGTCAGCTGGGTGCAGTGGCTTACACCTGTAATCCCAGCACTTTGGGAGGCCGAGACAGGTAGATCACGAGGTCAGGAGTTTGAGAACAGCCTGATCAACATGGCAAAACCCCGCCTCTACTAAAAATACAAAAAGTAGTTGGGTGTGGTGGCAGGTGCCTGTAATCCCAGCTACTCAGGAGGCTGAGGCAGGAGAATCGCTTGAACTGGGGAGGCGGAGGTGGCAGTGAGGCAATATTGCACCACTGCACTCCAGCCTGAGCAACAGAGCGAGACTCCTCCTCAAAAAAAAAAAAAAAAAAAAAAGAAAAGAAAAGAAAAGAAGAGAAAAAAAAGAAAATGGAAAAGTTCTATCGTTGCAGCATTGACTTTCTCCCTGTTCTCTGCCTTTTATGCCTTAGTACATCCGTTCCTTCTCTTTATATTCCCAATACCTTGTTTTCTATCCCCCATTAAGACATAGAAGGGAAGAGGGGGCTGATTGTGTGCCCCATTGGCAGTTTTACTGCTTGAGAGGTGGTGGCACCTCATTGTATAAGTGAGCAAGCAGAGACTGAGTTATTGGGTAACTGAGGACGTGTGGCTGGGAAACAGTGGGTATGAACCGGTATCTGTTCTGTTCTGAGCATGCTGTTTTAAATAATCTCATTTCATTTGACTGAAATTTATTTGCACGATCTGTCACAGGTAATTTGCCCTTTATCTCTTTTTATAAAACAAAAGACTATTGCTGTTAAAGGAATTACAGATATCAGCAGACAGAGGAGAATCTTTCTTGAGATATGGGATGGGAAAGTTCAAGTGAGTTTCTTTCTAGTAATTTTGACATCATGTGATGTTTTAGAACCATTTCCAAAGTTTATTCTGTGTGTGTATGTGTTTGAAGATTGCTCCAGGGAAAGGATTGGCCGTGTGTCTTTTCTGGCCTCAGATGACCTCCCTGCTCCCCAGGGATTGTGTGCTCTGGACAGCAGCCGCAGAAGCCTGTTTCCTAGGACCTGTGTGGTGTGGAGGGTCTGAGAGCGTCTTTGGCCTGACTGTGTCTCTGACCCTCCAGCCTAGCATAAGCTTGCTTGCTTCAGCATAAGTCCTGAAGCTGTGCCCCAACCCTGATCTCCTTGTCCTAGAACCTCCCTTCATCCCTGTCACAAGACATCTTTCCCCCATGCTCCCGCTGCAGTTGATGCCATCGGACTCTGTCCTGCTGTTTTCTTTGGCCCCAGTGGTCCCAGGTCCTCTGATTCTAGGCCAGGAGGAGTGAGCAGCAGGATTTACTCGAGTGCCACCTTGTTGGGGCTTTGGGCCTCCATCAGGTTCAGCTGTGGAGTGTGTTCCCCAGGCACAGGACATGGATATGGGGGACAAGTGACTCTGCCAGAGTGCAAAGGGGACAGAATTGAGATTAAATTCCTGAGATACACGAATACCAGTCTCCATTTAGTAGGAAGATTCCTTCACTGTTTTGTGGTAGACAAAATTCCAGTAAGGGCGATGAATCATGAAACCAGGCTGTTTTATTGGTTCATTCATTCGTTTGTCTTATGTATAAGACCAACTTCACACCTCCCTCCTGTGTCCTAGGAGAGGACTGTCCTCTCCTAGGACACTGTCCTCCGCTTCTCCTCCGAGGAGTTCAGTGTGGCAGGAGGCATGTGAGCACATTTTAATCTTGTGTGCTAAGAGCTCTGGTGGGAGAGAGTTTACAAAAATAGCTAACCTAGCTAGGAGCAAGCAACTCAGGGCAGAGCTTCCGGGGGGGAATGGTATGTGAATTAGATATGAGGACTCTTAAGCAGCTGAAGAGGTAGCAAGGGCAGACTTTACTGCAGGGTAGACAGCACAGGCAGAGGCGTGGAGGCATGAAATGTGGCAGCATGAAACATGGTGGCATGAAACACGGTGGCATGAAACATGGCAGCATGAAACGTGGCGGCATGAAACATGGCAGCATGAAACGTGGCGGCATGAAACGTGGCGGCATGAAACGTGGAGGCATGAAACACGGCGGCATAAAACAGCGTGGAAGCACTGGCAGCTTAATAAGTAACCTGACTATAGGGGGTGGTGAGGTGTGAGTGTGTGTGTGTGTATATGGCAGAGAGAGCGTATGCCCAAGCATATGAGCTTGGTTGGGGAGGGGTGACACCGTTACATCTCAAGGCATGCTTTCCCAGCCATTTCTCTTTGGCCAAAGTATATGGTTTGTGTAATAGTCCCCTTGTCCTCTCAAATGAGAAACAAATGCATCAAATGTGTTTCATGTACACAGAGAGGGCTAAATTTCTCTTTTATCTAGCATTTATTTAGTATATACAATTTAAAAATAGACACACGTGTGCCTTGCCTATAAAAAACTGTATGATCTGGCTATGGAAACAATCCCTATATGCGTCTTGATGTGTGCCACAACCAGCACCATTTAAACCAGGCCCTGGGGTAGATACAATCTGTGTACTTGGACTTCCCTCTCATAGAAATTCAGCACCATGGTGGCAGTCACATGCACATAGCACTGTTTGACGTGATCTTGCTTGTGTACATCTTGGTCTGTCTCCCTGGCGAGTGTGAGTGACGGAGGGGCAGGAGCACGTCCTGCCTGTCTCACACACCGCTTCATCCCCAGGGCCTCGCAGAGTGCCTGGCACATGGTATGGTCTCAGTCAATACTTATTAAAAGAGTGAGTTTAGGGTACAGCCTGGTTTTATCCACCCTCTACCGACTCCTTTGCCTTGTTCTCTATGACTGCACTTCCTTCCTTCTTGGGAAATGTCTCTTTTCTAGCAGGTATGGTTCCCTGTGTTCCTTCTGTTTGTAGTGTTCTTCATCCTCCCTCTCCTCCTGACTCTCAGATTTCACCGTATTACATCCCTAGCGAGTCTTGCTGAGATGTCTCAATCTAGGACAAATTATTCGTTACACACCCTCTCGTGGAATTGTGTTCCTTTCCTTCAGAGAATCTATCTCAGTTCTTGATGATAAATGTTTGAGAGAGTTAACTTGAGGAATGTGTTTCGCCCTCATTGACTGCAAATTCTGTGATGGCCATTATGCTGTGCCTGTTTTGTTTTCTGAATATAGTCAGTACCTAAGAGATTGTACGCTCTCAGTGAGTGTTCACTGGTGAATAGATGACTGATGACATGACTTCTGCATCACAGCACACCTTGTCCAAGGAGCTCCCTCAAGCTCCTGCTTCCCAGCCATAGCCCTGCCTCATTTGGAACACTGGGATCCTCCTCAGGGCCTACCCCATGAGGGGCTCATGAAAGCCACTGTAGACTCCCTGTCTCCTTCTTTGTGCCCCTGGAGCAAGTCTCATCCCTGATTCTTGTACCTGCAGCAGCTCTTGCCAGACTGTACTCTCTCTGTTCCCAGGAAAGAAGCAGAGGGGTGGAAATGAGGGAAGGGCCGAACATAGGGAGCCTCTCCACTTAGGCTGTGGAAGAAGGGGAAAAGAAATGTATTTCAGGCGTACCTAATTGGAATTTGAAACGTGTTTTCCCTGGCGAAGGCAGCACAATGTGGCCGTGTTCTGTGATATTCAAGAGTGGAAACCTGTTAACCTTGAGAAGTTAAGCTGAAAATTTTCTTTATAACTTGGCAAGTAATTTCCTCCCTCCCTCCCTCCCTCCCTCCTCCTCTCTTTCTCTCTCCTTCCTTCCTTCCTTCCTTCCTTCCTTCCTTCCTTCCTTCCTTCCTTCCTTCCTTCCTTCCTTCTTTCCTTCTTTCCTTCCTGATGGACCCTCCCTCTCTAGCTTAGGCTGAGTGCAGTGGCGCAATCTTGGCTCACTGCAGCCTCTGTCTCCCGGGTCCTGGTTCAAGCAGTTCTCCTGCCTCAGCCTCCCGAGTAGCTGGGATTACAGGCATGCGCCTCTACGCCTAGCTAATTTTTGTATTTTTAATAGAGATGGGATTTCACCATATTGTCCAGGCTGATCTTGAACTTCTGACCTTGTGATCTGCCTGCCTTGGCCTCCCAAAGTGCTGGGATTACAGGCAAGTAATTTTCAACAAGATACATGACCTGAAGAAAAATGTAAAAGGTGTAAGTATATGCAATAAATTATTGCATAGATCTAATGGGTTGCTTTGCTGTGTGTGGAATTATATTGTAAAAGCTGCAGGAAAGTGATTTTAAAGCTCCCATCATATGGTTCAGCTGCCCACCAATTTGAACAAACACTTATTGTGGGCCACAGTATTTCCAGGAACTCAAAGATAAAGGAGATGGGCTCCTTACCTTCTGAAATGAACAGTTAAGTTGGGAATATTACAGCGTCATTCCTGCAACAAATGTTTATTATGCTGATGCTGGGATCTAGTGATGAATAAAAAAGACAGACTCTGTCCTCTCATGAAGCTTACAGTCTAACTACCCACCACAGGCAATTACTGTTACAAAAGAAGGGTGTACCAAAGCGGGGGGGCATCCTGGAGGGAACAGCTGGGGTGGAAAGTAGTAAAACTGTGTGTAGCCACTGATTGTATTCAGTAGAATAAAAAAGGTACAAACGATTTACAGATATTTGGTGTTAAGTAGAATGATGCCAACATATACTTATTTTAAAATATTGGGAAGTATATTTTCTTCAGAAGTCTACTTTATTGATGATAAAATTGAACAACAGACAAGGACATGAAAAAAGGTTGAATTTAAACTCTGATTCCCACTGGGTGGCCTTAGTGATTGATTTTTATGAGCACTGGTTGGAGTCAGATATATATGGGTTTGAATTCAAGCTCTGCTAAGTTTCCATTAC